ATTTTTGCAGTAGGCTTGTAAAGCTATGAACTTCCCTCTCAAGACTGCTTTTGCTGTGTCCCATAGGTTTTGGATTGTTGTGTTTTCATTGTCGTTTGCTGCCATGATGTTTTTTTATTTCTTCTTTGATCTCTCTGGTAACCTAGTCATTGTTTAATAGCATGCTATTTAGTCTCCATGTGTTTGATTTTTTTGGATTGTTTTTATTGTAGTTGATTTCCAGTTTTATGCCATTGTGATCTGAGAAGATGCTTGATATGATTTCTATCTTCTTGACTTTGAAGAGACTTTGCCTTTGACCCAATATATGGTCTATCTCTGAAAATGACCCATGTGCACTTGAGAAGAATGTATATTCTGTGGCTTTGGGGTGAAATGTTCTGAAGATGTCAATTAATTCCATCTGATCTAGTGAGTCATTTAGGATTGATGTTTCTTTGCTGATTTTTTGTTTAGAGGATTTGTCCAATGGTGATAGTGGGGTGTTAAAGTCCCCTACTATGATTGTATTGCTGTCAATCTCTCTTTTGATCTCCTCCAGAAGTTTTCTTATGTATTTGGATGCTCCTATATTTGGCGCATATATGTTTACCAGAGTTATTTCTTCTTGTTGGATTGCTCCCTTTAGTATTATGAAGTGGCCTTCCTTATCTCTTTTTATGTCCTTCACTTTGAGATCTAATTTGTCAGATATAAGTATTGCTACCCCAGCTTTTTTTCCATTTCCATTCACCTGAAAAACCTTTGTCCATCCCTTCACCATCAGTCTGTGTGCGTCTTTTTTTTTTTTTTTTGAGGTGGATTTCCTGTAGACAGCAGATATATGGGTCCTGTTTTCTTATCCACTCAGTTACCCTAAGTCTTTTGATTGGGGCATTTAATCCATTTACATTTAAAATTATTATTGATAGATACCTGTTTGTCGCCATTTTTATTCTTTACCCCTGTGTTCCTTCTTTGTTTCCTATTTTTTCTTTTTACAGCAGACCCTTTAGCATTTCTTGCATTGCTGGTTTGGTGGTAATAAACTCTTGTAGTCCTTTTTTGTCTGTGAAGCTCCTGATTTCACCCTCAATTTTGATTGATAGTCTTGCGGGGTACAGTATTCTTGGATTCAGACCCTTCCTTTGCATGACTTTATATATTTCATTCCATTCCCTTCTTGCCTGATGTGTTTCTGTTGAGAAATCAGTCGCTAGTCTGATGGGGGATCCTTTGTAGGTAACTTTCTGTCTCTCTCTGGCTGCTTTTAAGAGTCTTGCTTTGTCATTGGTGTTTGCCAATTTCATTATAATGTGCCTTGGCATCGGTCTTTTGGGGTTCATTTTGTTTGGGACTCTGTGATCTTCTTGGATTTGTGTGAGTTTTTTCTTCCCTATATCAGGGAAGTTTTCTGTCATTATTTTTTCAAACAGGTTTTCTATTCCTTGCTCAGTTTCCTCTCCTTCTGGCACCCCTATTATGCGGATGTTGTTTCATTTCATGTTGTCCCAATGTTCTCTTAGGCTCTCCTCCTGCTTTTTAATTTTTTTTTTCTAGAAGCTGCTCTGCTTGGGTATTTTTTCCTACCTTGTCTTCTAGCTCACTGATGCGGTCCTCTGCTTCTTCTAGTCTACTGTTGATGCTTTCTATTGAGTTCTTTATAGCAGTGATGTCATTTTTCATTTCTTCTTGGTTCTTCTTCATTTCCTCTTGGTTCTTACTCATATTGTTGAATTTGTCTTCTATTCTTTTCATCCACCTTATGACCATTTCTCTGAATTCTTTCTCTGGCAGGTTGCTTGCCTCCATTGCCTCCATTTCGTTTACTTCCTTTTCTGGTGATGCCTGTTTTTCTTTCATATGCGGGCTGTTTCTTTGTCTCCCCATGATCTCTCTTCTCCAGGTGTTTGGTTATGTAGTTCTCTCTGCTGCATTGATTTAAAGACACAAAATACAACACAACAAGTCACAACTCACAAGGCACTGAACACAAATGTATTCACGATACTAATAACCCCAAATAAAGGTGACCACCAGAGCAAAGAGAATTAGGGGATAAGGAAGAAAGAAGAGAAAAAGAAAAAAAAAGGAGTGCAAAAATGAAATTGGGAAAAGGAAAAAAAAAGTAAGAGAGAAAAGAAAGGGACAGAAATAGAAGAGGGGAAGAAACTATTTATATGGGGAGAAAACTCCAATAGAACAGCCATTAATCCCAACAAATTCTAGCAACAGATCCCTGGAGATGAATGCAATCTACAAACAACAATTAATATCAAGTGAGGCGAGGGAAAACAGAAGCAAAAAAATAACTGGAAAAAAAACAACAGAAAAATAAAAAGAAAAACAATCTCACAAACAAGCATAAAAAACCCCAATATACTCAACAATCAAGCAAACAACAACAAAACAACAGGGAGGGAAAAAATGTGGATAATGAAGAAAGATAAGAGAGAGGTGTATATGGATTTAGAGCAGGGGATTGGAAATTGGATATATAAGTAGGGTGAAATTTTAACAGGGGGTAAAAAGAAGGAATAGGGAAAATCTAAAGCAGGAATAGGGTAAGAGAAACAGGACAACAAAAGGGGAAAAGTGAGGGAGAGAGTTTTGGCATAAAGGTAAAGTTGAGGTAGAGAAAAATGATGCTAAAGGAAAGATGAAAATAGAATGTAGAACACTAATCCCAAAATAAAATAAAGAGAAAATAAAATGACACTTTAAAAAATGGTAAAATGGTAGTAGTAATAATACTGGTTAAAAATAAAAATGTAGTAATTAAAAAGGTAAAATCAGGTGATGAAAAAAGAAAAAAAATTAGTTTCTTAATTAAAAGGTGAAAGAAAAAAAAAGTGCAGTAGTGAAGGTCCTTCACTTCTTCTGCTCTTCTGTCTGGCATGCCTTAGTCCTGTCAAGTATTCAGGAGAGTGTTGAAGTTCTCTGCGATACACTGTTCCTCCGTGTTGTAAACCACAGTCCTGATTTTAAAGCAGGCAGTATTTGTTTCCCAGACTGCCTTTATTTGTGTTTACAGAAGAGACAGTCTGTGGTTCAGCCCCTGGGTGGCAGTGTTTCTGGATTGACCTCCGAGGCTATAAGTCCTCTCTAGCCATTAGTTAGGTTTTGTTTTCCCTATCGCACTTAATACTGGTTTGGGAGAGTCAACTGCCCAGAGCTGGTTCTTTGATCGTTACTCCCCGCACTGTTTCCCAGGTTCCACAAAAACAACTTTCCCCTGCAGTCTCTGTGAGTGACCCCAATTGGGCGATCCTATGTATTGGGTTTAATAATCAAATGCAAAGATTTAAGGGGCAGGGGAAAAAAAAAAAGAGCCTGAGAAGGTGCACGAATTTGCAACCTTCCACCATCCAGCTCTGTGTGCAGTCTCTTCCGCACATTCTCTCTCCCCTGGCACTAAGCAGCCAGCACACTGGCAAAATCCAAGGCTGCCTTTTTGCATCCAGTCCAGCTATGGGCTTATTTTTAGAGTTTCCTTCTGCCAGCAGCCCTGCAGGACCCCTTCCACACTCACAGATCACGCTGGCCCCAAAGGCCCGCGGACTTTGTGGGGCACAAACTACCCCGGAGCGCGTTCCTCTCTCCAACCTGAATTGCAAACAGCACCTTTATGTAGGCGAAATCTGACCTTTCCGTGAGAAGGAGCAGGGCTCCTCTGAGTCCACGTATTCGCGCTGCTTGAGATCCGGTGTTTCTGGGTTAGTAGCTAATCCCTGGATGCCATGGTTGCAGGATTTCTGGATGTATACGCTTCCGATAACAGCCACTCAAGATGGCGCGGTCTCCGCGGCTGAGCCCACGTTCTGGGAGAGATTTTAGCAGCAGTGGAGGCTGCCTGGTTAGGGGAGCCCGATCCAGCAGTCTCCAACAGTCCCCTTTCTCCGGGAGTCCTCTGCCTTTCCTGGCTGCAAACTGTCTCCCAGCTGAATCTACTCTGCCTATCCGGGCTGGATCATGGGAAAGTTTTTTGGGTCAGGGTGAGGGTACACTATCTCTCAGATGCTGCACCTGATCAAAATCTCCATGTCTGTCACCAAGGCTGTTAGCATCCCTGGCTGCAGTACTCTACGTATGTTGTCACACATTGTTGGTGGGAAGACTGGGTGCTATTCACTTCATTCTATTGGGCAAGGACAACTAGACTCTTATGCCTGGCATCTCATGGACCCTATGCTCCTCTTCCCTTTGATATTTCCATCTTTTCCTGAGTTCTCTGAGTCCCTCTAGTGAATCATTGAACCTGAGGTGGTTTATTGGATCCCCGACACAAGGGTGATGAATGGTATATACCTCACCAGGGGCACAGGCACCAATGAGATTGTGCATACACAGCATGTACTGATTACAGCCAGTAGTTATTGTGTTCATATTGTGTACCAATTTTTGTGTGTCTATGAATTCATTGAATCTTCAGGACAATCCTGTGAGATTGATAAATTTTTATTCCCAGCCCCCACCCATGATTACTTTTTTACTTTTTATTGTGAAATGTATTTTATACTCAGGAGTATAAAATATAGATGTATGGCTTATACTTATGTGGAAAACTGTGAATCATCATCACCTAAAGAATAAAGGACATAGAAGCCCCCATGAACTCCTACCCAGTGACAACTCCTCCCACCTCCTGAGGTAATAATTTTCTTCCTTCTTTTCTTTATAGTTACAGGTTATATGCACTTTCAGATTTCTTCAATAACACTGCACTCTTTCCCATTTTAAGATGAAGCAATTGCAACAAGAGAAGTCAAGTAACTTTCCCAAGATCACAAAGCCAAACTGCCTTGAACCCAGAACCGAGCTCCCACTGGCACATGGTGGACAGCAAATAATTGCGAGCTATTATGCTGAGGGGGTTGGAGGCGTCATTAAGGGTTTTCTTTCCTGTCCATGTTATTCTGAACTCTGTCCCCATCAGTTAATAATTATCTGCCCCCCAAGAAGCTTGTGATCCTAAGATTTGCCTTTCCCTGCCTACTGTCTGGTTAATCAGTCACTGCCCCCAGCTGGTAGCGCAGCTGCCTCCAAAGCCCCTTTGCCTGGTGTAGAAGTGGTGAAGAATTCAGGATGCTCCGGACCTGTCCAGTGCTCTACTCCAAGGCTGGTCCCCCAACTGGGGGCTGGCAGCCCCTGAGCTTTGATGGTGGGGCCTTCCACCTAAAGGGTACTGGAGAACTGATGCGGGCATTGCTGGTGCTCCGGCTGTGTGCCTGGCCCCCTCTGGTCACCCATGGCCTGGCGGTGAGCAGTGACCTTGGGGATGGGCCTAAAGGCTCCCTAGGGCCTGGCATTGAGCCCTCGCTCCCTGTCACCCCAGATCCAGGCCTGGTCTCAGCGGCTCCTGGGCTCCCGGTTCTCGGGCGCACTTCTCCGAGCATCCATCTATGGGCAGTTTGTGGCTGGTGAGACAGCAGAGGAGGTGAGAGGCTGTGTCCAACAACTCCAGACTCTAAGCCTCCGGCCGCTGCTGGCAGTGCCCACAGAAGAGGAGCCAGACTCAGCTGTCAAGACTGGGTGAGTAAGCACAGACACCTCATGGGCCATCACAGTCCATACATGCCTAGTCCTGGCTTGTCATGGGAGGTTTGATTAAAAATAACAAAATTTAAAAAGATTGGATGAGTCCAGGGCCCAGGGAGGCTGGTGGAAGGGGGTTGGCTGCTCCAGGACCTGACACCTGCTGGCTGGGCAGCGAGGCCTGGTATGAGGAGAACCTCAGTGCTATGCTGCGGTGTGTGGACCTGTCACGAAGCCTTCTGGAGACCCCTGGCCCAAATGGGAACATCCTCATGCAGTTGAAGGTGACGGCACTGACCAGCACTCGGCTCTGTGTAAGGAGCTGGCAGGTTGTGGGAGGAAGGTGTGGCTGCCCACCATGTCCCCCTCACCACTCCACCTACCATCCCGTTCCAGAAGGAGCTAACCTCATGGGTCAGAAGGCCAGGGGCTTCCTTGGAGCTGAGCCCTGAGAGGCTGGCAGAAGCCATGGACTCTGGACAGGTAAGGACCTCAGGCTGTGGGAGAAATGAATGGTTGGTGGGAAATGTCAGGAGCAGAGACCCCTGGTCTTGGTGTAGCAGACATGTGCAAGTGGGATGTTCAAACTATTTAATTGCCACTGCTTTCCAGGCTCAGAACAATCACAATAAATGTGGCTGTGGTCCTGGGGCATGGTTGGAATGGATAGAATGTGGATAATATGGGGGCTCTAGGGAAGGGGTCTGGGGGCTCGAAGCTCTGAGGAGTGATTAAGCAGCAGCTCTCTATCAACTACAAGAAGATATATCAGTATTATATCAATCGACTCAACTATGCTAGTGTGTGCTGGAAGTTATGGTTAGACCAGTGGGGTTTGATTTAATCATTCATTCATCCATCCATCCATCCATCCATCTATCCATCCATCCCTTCTTATTTTCATGTCCTATTTCTTTAATCATTCATCCATCCACTCTATCCTAAATTATATATATATATATATATATATATATATATATATATATATATATATATATATATGTTATTGTGATTTTGTTTTGCCAAGTATATACTTTGTGGGGACATATTTTTTCCAACATTTTATTATGAAAATTTCCAAACACATAGAAAAGTTGAAAGAATTTTACTGTGGACACTATATACCTGCCATTGTTAACATTTAACTATATTTGCTTTAAATCATCTGTACCTATATCCATTGCTCTATGCATCTATCAATCCATCTTATTTTTTGATGCACTTCAAAGTAAGTTGAACACATCTGCACACTTCCACCCAAATGCTTCAGAAAGCATCTCACCTATTAGAGTTCAATAATTATTTATAGTACTTTATTTCTTTTCAGGTAAAATCCTATATAATAAAAAGCTAATATGCAAATCAACCAAACAGCAGAACTACCGGTTACTATGACACGCACTGACCAACAGGGGGCAGATGCTAATGCAGGAGCTGCCCCCTGGTGGTTAGTGCGCTCCCACAGGGGGAGCGCTGCTCAGCCAGAAGCTGGGCTCATGATGGAGCGCAGTGGTGGTGGCTGGATCCTCTCCTACCTCCGTGGCAGCCCTAAGAATGTCCGACTCACGGTTTAGGCCTGCTCCATCCCCTGAGGGCTCTCGGACTGTGAAAGGGTGCAGGCCAGGCTGAGGCCCCCTCCACTACCCCGCCTCCCGCCCCCAGTGCAAGAATTTCATGCACCGGGCCTCTATTTTCCATATAATGAAATACACAAATTGTAAAGGTACCCTTTGATGAGCTTTGACAAATAGACAAACCTGAGCAATTCAAATCCCTATAGAGTTATATAACATTTCCATCATTGCAGAAAGTTCCCTTGTGTCCTTTAAGATGTATATAAATAGTGTTATGTTATCTATTTCTTTCTGTTTCATACTTTTTCCCACTGAGCACTTGGACTTTAAGGCCCATCCAAGTGTCTTTGTGAACATCTAATCTATTGCTTACAATTGTTGTTTCTAGCTGTGTGACTTATCTCTCCTGGGATGGACACCCTGGTTACCTCCAAGTCTCCACTACCCTAAACAATACTGCAAGGGGCTGATGTTTTCTTTTTGAAACCCTATAAAAAGTCTGAGTTAGAGGCAGTTATGATTTCCACATTATAAATGTATTCATTCCCTAAATGTTTATTGGCCATCCACCATGTTCCAAGTGCTGTTCTAGGGGTGGAGAAGTGATGACCAAGACAAACAAACTCCCTGCCCTCAAGGCATCACTTGCTAGTCAGGGAGGGGGTAAGAAACAATAATGAAAACCAATACCAATATGTAACAAGTATAAGTAAACATTGTAGGGGCAAATAGGCTGAGGAAGGGGAAAGGGAAGCCCCAGATAGGGAGTTCCATGGGAAAGCTCATTGAGAAGGGAATATTGGACAAAGATCTGCAGGAGAGGTAAGTGGACCTCAGCAGGAAGAGTGTTCCAGGCAGAAGGAACAGCCAGAACAAAGCCTCTGAGGTGGGAAGATACCTGTTATGTTCAATAGCAGGAAGGCCAGTGTGGTTGGAGGGCAGAGAGCAAGGCGGAGAGTGGAAGGGGCCAGAGCAGCAGAGCCGGTGGGCTGCAATGAGGCCTTGGCATTTCAGAGGAAATTGAGGTCCTAAGAGACTAATAGGAGGAAACACTATGACATGTATTGTGAGCAAGCCACTGCTCTAAGCATTTCCTTAGGTCAATTCCAAGCCACTTCTCTCTCCGAGCTTGTTTCCTCACTGAAAAATGGAGCTTGGAATAACTCCTGTCTACTAGGATCATTGTGGAAAGTAAATAAACAAGATAGTAAATGCATCACCTATTATTATTATAATGTCATGGAATGAGTGCTTATTATGTGCTGGCACTGTCTTGTTCTTGTTATGTCCAGGCGCATCTCACCTAGTAACCCATTTTTACCCACATAACTTAATGAGGAAGCTACTATTATTATCTCCACTAGAGGCCCGGTGCACAAAATTTGTGCAGGGGGTGGGGGGTGTCCCTCAGCCCAGCCTGCACCCTCTCCAATCTGGGACCCCTCGGGGGATGTCCGACATCCCTCTCAAAATCCAGGACTGCTGGCTCCTAACCACTCATCTGCCTGCCTGCCTGCCTGCTTCCCCTAACCGCTTTTGCCTGCCAGCCTGATCGCCCCCTAACTGCTCCCTGCCGCCTGATTGATGCCTAACTGTTCCCCTGCTGGCCCAATCACCCCCAACTGCCCTCCCCTGCTGGCCATCTTGTGGGCCATCTTGTGACGACATGAGGGCATCGCGCGAGGGTGCTAGGGCCACCTAAGCTTTTATTAGTATAGATTTTATAGAGGAGAAAATTGAGGCCCAGAGAGGTTATATGACTTGCTCAAGGACAAGCAGCAAAGGTAGAACCAGGATTCAAACTCAGATTCTGGGTTCTTAACCACTGAATTACACTTAAATAAATTGTATATATGTGATATAGCAACTTTTCAGATTTCTAAAAATTCTAAACATATTTCCCTTCCTGGTAGCGGGGAGCGGGGTTGGAGACTTATGCCCTGGAAGAAAGTCCTGAGCTGCTCTCGTCTTCTCTGCTGCCCTCCCCCAGGATCTCCAGGTCTCTTGCCTCAGCACCGAGCAAAACCAGCATCTCCGGGCCTCTCTGAGCCGCTTGCAGCAGGTAGCACAGGTAATGCCTTCTGCTGTGGCCTGGCTCTGCTGCACCCGCTGGGCACCCCTGGGGCTCTGACCATAGTCTTTCTCTCCCTCAGCATGCCCAGGCCCAGCACGTGAGGCTCCTGGTGGATGCTGAGTACACCTCACTGAATCCTGCTCTCTCTCTGCTGGTGGCTGCCCTGGCCTTGCGTTGGAACAGATCCAGGGAGGGTGGGCCCTGGGTGTGGAACACTTACCAGGCCTATCTGAAGGTGTGTGATGGGTTCCGGGGAAATTTGGGCCTGGGTTCCAGCACCCTGATCTGAAGCTGCCCTTGTGCTCTGCCAGGACACTTACGAAAGGCTGAGGCGGGATGCTGAGGCTGCAGACAGGGCTGGCCTGGCCTTCGGGGTGAAGTTGGTACGAGGGGCATATCTGGACAAGGAGAGAGATGTGGCCCAGCTTCAAGGGACCAAAGATCCCACTCAGCCTGACTATGAGGCTACCAGTCAGAGGTAAGAATGGACCAGGCCAGCCCCTGAGACAAATAATAACATCTAACCTTTAACACTCACAACCCATGATGCTGAGCATCCTGTGTGTGTCTACACATTCCTCCCTCTTCCTGGTCTAGGACACCATCATTTCTCACCTTTGTCCTCCCTTCCCAGTCATGACCCACATGCAGCCAGAGGGAGCCTTGTTTATACCTAAGTCAAATCATGTCCCTTCTCAGTTCAAAATCCTTCCATGGATCCCATTGCACCCTCAGTAAACCCCAAATCCTTGCAGCACCCCACAAGGCCCCACATGATCTGGTCACTGTCACCTCTCTAACTTTTCTTTCCACCCTTCTCCTCACTCACTGCACTCCTTGAGGATCCCCAGGGCCTTTGTACTTCCTGTCCTGCTGCCTCGAATGCTCTCCCTCCAGACAGCTGCATGGCACAATCCCTCACCTCCTTAGGTCTTTGTGTATTGGTACCTTCTTGGGGGGCCTTCCCTATCATATTTATCAAAAACTAGATTCTCCTCACCCACTCTCTTCCTGGATTTATTTTTCTCTTTATCACTTACCAGTAGTTAAGATTCTATACAGATTCATACTAAATTGCTCATTGTCTGTCTCCCCCACTAGTGTGTGGGCGCGGGAGGGCAGGGGTTTCTGATTTGTTCACTTCTGAACCTTCAGTGTTTAAAATTGTGTCTGATACACGGTGGTGCTCACTCAGTACAGCTCTGCTGAGTGAATAAACAAACAACTCCAAGCAGAAAGTACTATTATTATCACCCCCATTGCACAGAGGACGAAACTGAGGCACTGAGAAGTGGCAGGGCCAAGACTTGAGCCCAGGCAGACTGGCTATAGAATCCACGCTCTCACCCATCACAAATCAACCTGTGTGGGTGAGCTCATTGGACCTCCCCACCCCATGGCCCTGGGAAGGAGGACTTTATTTCTTCAACACATACTTGCTAGACACCTGATTTAGATCAGGCCCTATTTTAGACCCTGGTCTCAGTAGCAATCAAGGTGACCCTAGGTCAGTGATGGCGAACCTATGACACGCGAACTCATTTTTTTGGTTGATTTTTCTTTGTTAAATGGCATTTAAATATATAAAATAAATATCAAAAATATAAATCTTTGTTTTACTATGGTTGCAAATATCAAAAAATTTCTATATGTGACACGGCACCAGAGTTAAGTTAGGGTTTTTCAAAATGCTGACACGCCGAGCTCAAAAGGTTCACCATCACTGCCCTAGGTCCTGTCGTGAAGGAGCTTTCAAAGTCTGACTCCATTTCACAATGGACCAAGGAGAGGTTTGTACAATTGCAGGGAATTATGCAAGATTTCAGGGCAAGGGGCCAATCCATCCTTGGAACCCAGGGCCAGTGAGTATTTCTAGGCAAGTACCATACAATTCACACACCATAAAATTCACCATTCAAAAGTGTACAATGAATGCAGTAGACTTTAGTATATTCACAGGTTGTGCAACCATTGTCACTATCTAATTACAGAACATTTTCATTACTTCAAAAAGAAATGCCATTTCCATTCATTAGCAGTCACTCCCCATTCCCTCTTCCCCTCAACCCCTGGCAACCACCAGTCTTTTTAAAGTCTCTATGGATTTGCCTATACTGAACATTTCATATAAATAGTATCATGTAATATGTAACCTTTGTATCTGGCTTATTTCATTCAGCATGTTTTCAGGGTTCAACCATGTTGTAGTACATATCTGTGCTTCATTCCTTTTTATGACTAAGTCATATTCCATTGTATGAATGGACTACATTTTATTTATTCATTCATCAGTTGATGGATATTTTAATTGTTTCCATCTTTTGACTGTTGTGAATAATGCTGTTGTGAACATTCATGTACACATTTTTGTGTAAACATACATTCAACTCTCCCAAAAGTTCAGTTATCTGGGAGTGGATTGCAAAATCACATGGTAATTCCATGTTTAAACTTTTGAAGAACTGCTAGATGGTGTTCCACAGTCCTGCACCATTTTACATTCATACCAGCACCTGTTTCAATTTCTGCACATCTTCTTTAGCATGGTACCATTCATGTTTTAATACAGATTTTGAATACTTAATAAATTCACATGATTCAAAAATCAAAATGATATGAAAATGAATACACTGACATATCTCATTTTGACACAAATCCACATCTAATCATGGAGTCTCCCTGGCCCCCACAGTAACCCCTTTTGTTAGTTTCTTACATGTGTTTCCTAAAGTCCTTTATACATATAGAGGCAAACACAAAGGTTTTTGTATTTGCAAAAGGCATCATGTTTACATATTGCTCCTGGCTTTTCCACTCAATTGCATATTTTAAAGGCAAAATAGTCTAGATTTAAAATGACAATGGAGTAAGTGGAAGCTACACTGACACTCCCCCAGGACCAAACTGGAAATACAACTAAAATACAGAAAAAAAAATCCTGAAAAATCAACTGAAGACTAGCTGGAGAGAACCCTAATAACCAAGGACAGAAAGTGGAGACCGCATAGAGACTGGTAGGAAGTGCGGAGGCGCGAAATGGGTGGCTGGGCTCCCACAGACAGCAGCTGAAGTCCCAGAGGGATATCTCAGCTGTGGGGGGTTCCCACTGAGAACTCTGGGATCTAAACTTCAAGCTGGGCTCCCCAGCCCAGAGCACCAGAACTGAGAAAAGTGCCCACATAACACTTGTCTATGAAAAGCAGCAGGGTTGCTGTCTGCCAGACAGAGATGGCTGGAAATGGAGGCACCATTTTGAAGGGCCAATGCACAAAATTTTGTTTTTAGCCACTCACCTTGAGCTCCAGCAGAGGGAGGGCAGAGTGGACTGGAGCTGTGTGAGGAAAGTCCAGGGTTGGGGGCTCTGGGGTTGGAGCTCGGAGGGCAGCCAACTCAGTTTCCTATGTTGAGTCATATGTTGAGTCATTATATCACGATGTGGAGGACATCTTTCTCCAGTGGACCTTTGTTATGCAGGTGATTTTTGCCAGGGGAAAGGCAGTCAACACACCCTGTTAGAAGAACTCTCACTCCACCCTGAGATCAATAGCCTGAGGCCAATCAAGGCTGATAACAATCTGACTGCAGGCAGAGGAGGATCTCTAGAGCCTTTGAGTCTTTGCCTGATCTCCTTCTTGGCTTGGGGCTAGGAAAAGCAGACCCTGGTGCACATCTTGGTCCTTTCCAAAGGCACCCAGCCCCAGGAGAGGGAGCTACAAGCTGGGGATTGTTGACAGATCCAAACAGTACTGAGGGACAGTCACAAACAGTGTTTGAGATTGTCCTGCACTAGAGATTGGGAGTCTTAGCAGATCTACCTAATACATAGACAAAAACCCAAATGGGCAGCCAAAATGGAGAGACAAAAACAAGCCCCAAAAGAAGGAACAAGATTCTCCAGAAGAAGTTATAAATGAAATGTCAATAAATTTATCTGATATAGAGTTCAGAATAATGATGGCAAAGATGTTCAGTAGCATGAGAAAAAATATAGTAACTATGAAAAAAGACCAGTTGGAAATAAAGAATGACATAGCACTACTACAGAGCACATAGGAAGGAATACACAGCAGATTAGAAAAAGCTGAGGATCGGATCAGTGAATTAGAAGACAGGGTAGAAAAAAAATCACTCAGAGAACCAAAAAGAAAAACCAATTAAAAAACAGCAGGACAAGTTAATGGAGATATGGGACAACATGAAATGTAACAATATTCACATTATTGGAATGCCAGAAGGAGAAGAAAGTGAACAAAGGATAGAGAATGTGAAGAAATAATCTCAGAAAACTTCCCTAACCTGCTGAAAGAAAAAGTCACACAAGTTCAGGGGCATAGGGAGTCCCAAGTTAGAAGAACCCAAACAGGCCCACACTCAGATACATCATAATTAGAATGCCAAAAATTAAAGACAAACAGAAATTCCTAAAGGCAGCAAGAGAAAAGCAAACTGCTACCTACAAAGGAGCTCCCATAAGGCTTCCAGCTGATTGATCATCAGAAATTCTATAAGTCAGAAGGAAATGGCATGAAGTACTCAAGGTAATGAAAAGCAAGAATTGGAAACCAAGATTATTATATTTACCAAAGCTATCATTCAAAATAGATGGTGAAATAAAGAGCTTCCCAGACAAAAAAAAAAAAAAGACTAATAGAGTTTATCACCACCAAACCAGCACTGCAAGAAATTTTAAAGGGACTGCTGTAATGAGAAGAATCAAAGAGGGAGATTAAAAAAATAGGCATAAAGAATGAAAATGGCAATAAGTAAGTACTTACCAAAAATAACCTTAAATGTAAATGGATACTATGCTGCTGTTAAAAAGAAGGAACTCTTACCATTTGCAACAGCATGGATGGAAATGGAGAGCATTATGCTAAGTGAAACAAGCCAGTCAATGAAGGAAAAATACCACGTGATCTCACTCTTTCATGGATAATTAAGACCATTACAAACTTTTGAACAATAATAAATACAGTGGCAGAGCTGCCTCAAACTGATTGTCGGACTGCAGTGGGAAGGCCAGGGAGGGTTGGGGGACAGGAGGGAGGGGAGTAAGAGATCAACCGAAGGACTTGTATGCATCCATATAACCATAACTAATGGACATAAGACACTGGGGGGTAAGGGAGGGCAGGGGCTTGTCAAGGGCGGGGGGGAAAAAAAGGACACTTATGTAATACCCTTTGTAATACTTTTAGCGAAAAATAAAAAAAAATGTAAATGGATTAAATGCTCCAATCAAAAGACATAGGATAGCTGAATGGAGTACAAAAACATGACCCAATTATATGTTGTCTACAAGAAACCCACTTCAGAACAAAAGACTCACACAGGATGAGAGTGAAGAGATGGAAAAAATTTCCATGCAAATGGAAATGAAAAAATAAAAAGCTGCGATAGCAATACTCACATCTGACAAAACTTCAAAATGAAGGCCATCACAAGAGACAACAAAGATTACTACATAATACTAAAGGG